ACCTCTGGTCTACATTGCATGCTGATGTGGCGCTACCTATGGTCTACATTGCATGCTGATGTGGCCCTACCTCTGGTCTACATTGCATGCTGACGTGGCGCTGCCACTGGTCTTCGTTGATGATGTGGCATATACCACCTATCTCGACTGCTGACATGGTACTGTCCACGCTGTCTACATGAGGTGGCTGGTTGCGTGGAGGAGGAAGATCGGGATCTGTGGATGAAGGAGGTCGGGTACTCACCTGAGTTTGACGTCATCATTGGAATCTGCTATGTCTTCACAGACTTCACGAGATTAAGTGCCACGTGGCACTACTGTGTGTGATTAGGAATATACTTATTATCATTGATGATGTGGAGAGGGGAGAAGCCCGGAGAAGGAGAGGGAACTGAAGGGTTTATTACTGTGTGATCTCTCTTCCTCTCCTTTGTCTGTTCCCCTCCATTCTCTTCTTTCGATGATAATGAGATACTGTTTGAGAGTTCACTTCATGATTTGGAGACCTTAATGCAGATAATGAGACTACTGATGTTTGACGACTTCTGAGTATCTGCCAGACTGGGTTCATTACAATTCATCCCCGACTCCCTGAGGCATTATTGCGATACGTAACAACACCTACCTTATCCAAGAATAGTCAATCTGATCCTCGGTGTGTACAGTGGGCTACTCACAATTAGGAAAGTGAATTGTGCTTAATTCCTATAAGCAAGTCCTATTGTCTGCACTGCCCCTCAGGAATCCACACTGCCATTCTTTTGCAAGCCGCGTGCACACGCTGGTTGGACATACTCATTCTTGACCCCCCTGGATGGTCTTGGTAGGGGCTTTGCCTCTATAAGCAAGTCCTTTGTGTGTTATCGTCAGACAGTTGAGGAGAGAGGGCATCAGGGTGTACTGTCAATAAATGTCGCCTTGTCACCGCAACCTCAACAAAAGGCGCTCACCTCAGCATTAAACAAAAAAAAAAGGGGGCAAGGGGGTCAGACTAGAATTGTGTGGGAAGGCAAGCGGATCAGACTAGATTCGTATGGGAATGCACCAACGCGCCTAGCTTAGTTGGTACACCGATAAACGGTCGAAAATACAGACCTGAGTTCGAATCCAGATGGAGCTAGATGAATGAAATGTGTATAGATTTCACCTCTTTTAAGAAAAAGAACCAAAGAAAAACTTCACAAGGGGCAGAGCACAAGCAGATATCCCAAACTGCAAAACCCGGCCCCCACACAGCTTTCCATAAAACAGGCAAGAGGAGGTTTACTTGCCTGCCTTCCTGAGCCAGAAAAGGGAAAATGTGATGACCCGTCCAAACATGGACTGAAACACACAGCTGATTTCTGAGTTTTGCCCATAGACTGAATGCCTTGCTGAGTTTCCCGCCTGCTACTAAGTCTGTGTGTGCACGCTTGCTGGACTGCATGTCTGTCTGAGTGCTGGTTGGCTTGAGTGTGTGTGTGGCCATGCCTGTCTGAGTGCTGGTTGGCTTGAGTGTGTGTGTGGCCCGCAAGGGCACTTGCTCGTTCATTGGGCCCTCAGGGCTGGTACTTACCTGTGGCCGTGACATCAAGGGATTGCAGCGGGAAAAACACTCAAGTAGCGGGTAGGCCGGTACCGCACCTTGAAGAGGTGGATGTGCGGGTACTGGAGGCCGAGCAGAAGAAGACAAAAGTGGCATTTTTAGAGGCCCAGTAGTTGTGGTTAGGTCTAGGCGGATACCAGTCCAACCAGTCTGGGTCTAGGGCCTGTACGGGCAATATCAGAGTCTGCAATGATGTTTCCCTCCGAAAGGGAGGAGGTACCGATTGCTTGGAAGGCCGAGCGGCCTGGAAGTCACCGCCCGAAGAGGCAAGCAGGCCGCTATATCTCCCAGCTGGGCGAAGAGCCCGGCCTCATTCTTGTTGTGCAAGTTTGGCGACACACTGGTCGGAGCGCCGGTTGGAGCAGCTCTATCCATGAGAAGCGCTGCCGGGGGAAGGAGAAGGACACGGAGGAGGAAAAAGGACAGGAAGGGGGAGAAGCGCCAGGGGTACTTACCTGGCTATGGTGGCAGCCATCTTCATCACCTTGGTGGGCGCTGCAGCAGGGAGTCCCCAACTGGGAAATCCTACACCAAGAAGCTTTGAGGCAGGGTCGGGCATGGCGGCCTGAGCTAGAGCATCCATAGCTGCTTTGGATTGTCCTTTGGGCATCTGGGCAAGGCCTAGTAGTCCGCCATAGCCTCGGCCTATGAGAGTGAAGAGCGGGAGAGGCGGCCATGGCTATGGTGGACCTCAAGTGATCCCTGCAGTAGAAGAGGGAATCGGACATTGGTTCTGGATCAGCCATTCAACATTGTATTATTATTTCTTGTATGAATAAGAGAAGAGGGAGGTAAGGAGGAGGAGATTGCTGGGCGAAGAAGAAGAGCCTTGTCATCTGTCTATGCTGGTGTACATCATCTTCTTCTTCTTTCTTACTTCTTCTTCTTCTTCTAATCCTCTCTCTCCTCTCAAGTTCATTCATTTCTTTCTGCAATTGGACGGCATTGTACTTTCTGATGGATGTGTATCTCGAAATTTGCCAGGATCATAACAAAAATGAAAAAGATGATATCCTTTTACTACTGTACTGATGAGCACTTTTTCCAAAAGCAGGCAACCCCAAACATGAACCCCTGCATTCAACATGCATTGTGAGGAGCAAGCATGCCAAACAGTACAGCAACCAAAACCCTATACTCTAATACACAAAAATTTTAACCAGACGCAGAACTGCTCACCAGAGGCGGCAACTGGGTAACCATTGCCCGTACCCGACCGTACCCAACTGTAACCGGCAGGTTATGGGCAGATACAGGTACCTTTCCGGAGGGGGGCATCGGTATGGGCAGGCATAAATTTTATTTGTGGATTTCAGGGCACGCACAGTCACACTGCGTGGAGATCACGGGCAGGCATGGGCGGGTATTGGCGGTGAAAAGGGAAAAACCGCAGGTATGGGCGGCCAAGAAAAAAAAAAGCATGGGTACAGCCGTTATAGGGTGGTGAAAAAAAAAATCACATGGATATGGGCGGGTAAGCAATTCTGCCGGGTAACCGTAAGTAATGTCCACCTTCCCCCCGTTCCCCCCCTTCTGAAACGGTTTTCACCTATGCTATAATACACGAAAATTTTAACCAGACGCAGAACTGCTCAGTGCTCACCTCCCAAACATCTCCGGGTTCTTCAGGGGAAGCTCCACCATCTCTCTCAAGGCTGCTATCTGAGAAGATAAACCCCCCACCATGCGAAACCCTGCATTTCCCGGGACAACCTCCAGTTTCGAGGCGGCCACGGCCTTCAACACTGCATCGTTGTCAGCACGTGATCCACTCTTGTTAGCCACAGATGTGTGTTCCTTGGCTGTGGTCAAGGAAAGGCCCTTCACAGCCTCCTCCCCTACGGCGCTGATTATGATCTCTGTCCTATGGTCAAGTTTGAAGAGCTCAATACAGGACCTGTGCAGTCCACCCAGCAAACGGCTCCCTTGCACAGAATGAGCCTCCTGTACTCTGAACACACACTCTTTTCCACAGACAGAAACCACGACCACATTATCCTCAAGAAGGTGCCGACCGTTGAGCCATCGCGCGATCATAACACCGATCAGATTCTTCTCCCTCTCTGCACCTTTGGTCAGAAGCACCTGCACTGCCTCCCATTCCGAAGGATCATCTCTTGTACCTTTGCCGTTCTTTCCCATGGTGCGGCCGGCGGGAGTGCCCTTACTTTCCACAGACTTTGGGGTGGCAGGACTGTCACAATAATCTGCCTGAGCTCTTCCTTGTGCCTTCTGTGGAGTTCTCATCCAGAGCGAAGGGCTCGAGGGACTAGCCGTTGGAGCAGGGGTGCCAGTGGACATTCCAGGCTGCGGGGTCCCACACTGAGGTGTCCGAGTTGGGGACCTCAGGGGAGTAACCCTGTGCTCTGGGTGGCTCAAGGGGGGAGTTGCCGGCGTTGGCGGAAAAGATGGTTGCACAGCAGATCGATTCAGGATCACTGGGGGACACCATTCCACCTTGAGCTGCGAGCAGGGACGCACGATTGCACCAACTGGTTTTCCATCTCCAGCATGCCTTTCTGATGCCACAGAGTCCGTGTACAACCCAACCACACTGCCTGGAGATGCCAGGACAGAATCATTGCTGCTATTCTCCAACGACGGCTCACCACCATCGCATACACGACGACTAAGCCCGGACTTCGGTGTGGAGGTGACTTGAGACATGTTTCCCTTCCTCTCTGTGGGGTTGAGTGCCTCAGGGTACTTCTCAGGCGACAGCAATTGGAGTGGATAAAGGATGAGGGATGCCCCAGCCGGAGGGCAACCAAGGCTGGAAGCGAGCTGCCGCGACAGTCTGGCGCCAGAGCGAAGCAACTGCAGCCAAGCAACCCACAGTTCCATCAAAACTGTGAACAAAACAAAAGTAGAAGTACCACCATCATCATCATCATCATCATCATCATCATCAAACTTCTGTGGCATCATCATTCATTAAAGTTGCCATCAACACAATTGTTCCACAGAACAACGGTTCATTGGAAAGATGGCCGGAAATAAAATGCCCTCCAATATGAAGGGGACATTCTGGCTATTCTGCAAGGGTTGGACTAAGAAGGATAGAACGGGAGAACAAGTAGCAGATGAAGACGCAACGAGGGGTACATATTGGGCTCAATTGCTCAAAATATGGGCGAAGGTCTTCCCGGCAAGAGTAAGACAACCAAAGACGAAGGATGAAGTGCTTAGACAACAGCTTTTTTGTAATCCATGGTTAAAAGACTCTCAAGGAAGACCTAGAACACTAACAGCAAAGGACGCCAAGTGGGGGAAGTGGTTAGAGCATGGGGTATGGCAGGTAAAACATCTCTGGTCGGTCAACAAGGGGAGATGGAAAACTGGGAGGGAGCTGAGGGAGACAATGAAGGGCTGTCACAGACTAACTGAAAAGCTGAATGACGTTCTTGTCTCGATCCCGGATGAGTGGACAAGGATATTGAAGGAACCAGACAAATGGAGATGGGGGGATTGGGCAACAATAACCTCTACTAATGAACCGGAGGCAGCCTTTCGCATACGACAGGAGGTGGGACCTTCTAACCACTGGGTGGAAGCAGATAAGTACATCTCCAGCAGTCACGGTTAGTATGCTGGATAAGGAGTCGCGGGTTCCGATCGTCATTAAGAAAAGCACCTTAAGAAAGGTCAGAGTGGTGGAGAATGATTATTTTACGATATTTGAGCCACTGGCATCCATTCGGGATTTGAAAATCGATCCAGAAGAGTGGGCATGGAACATCAAGGGAAGCTTGTCAAGAGCAACTAGGAAAAATAATATACTTCAGTGCACCACTAAATTGGGCTACCGTCTAAGGGGGAGATCATGTCATTTAGATCACATTTTGGCGATAAGATGGGAGAAGAGAGTGGATATACCAAGGTAACAGGTAGAAAGGTTACCATGGTCATCTTTGCACAGTATCAGATTGGCCAAGGTCAGGAGCATGCAGTGGCTCATCTTTCATGTAGCACTCCCGGTCAATGTCTGGCTGTTCGATAAGTGAAACAGGCTCAATAGGAACGACGCAGATCTAGACTGTGTTATGTGTAGGGGAGGCGTTCCGGAAACTCTGGTCCATTGCTTGCTCCATTGCCCGGAAGCAGAACATCTCTGGTCCTTAGTTCGTTCACTATGGACACACACTACGGATGTCCCCTTCCCGCAAAACACGAAACTAATATTGACAGGAAGTGAGGAGCCTAAGGGGTGGAGGGCAGGTCACAAATTTATCTTTCAGCTTCTGAGACAGTACACTTTATGGACAATCTGGAAACGAAGATGTCAGCAAGTGGTGGGCAAGACTCCGATGACTAGAATGGAAGCCAAGGCAATTCTCTACAGCCTGTTGGGGACAGAGATTAGGGTGTTATGGAAAAGGACAAAGAAGCAAGTGGCTCTTAACCCAAAAAGGGCAAAGGATACCTTAACCAAATTCCAGAAAAGGGTACTAGCCCAGGGCAAAGTCGCGACTATGGAAGGAGAGAGACTTATCTTCCATGGTTCAAAGAAGAGCGCCAGGAAGAGACTATAGATGATCAACCTTTGACACAGGAACTGAGGCTGCCATAAGGGGGGGGGGGGGAAAGAAAAGGGGCAAATGCAAAGACGGGAGGCCAAGAAAGTTCTACATAACATGTTGGAGATGGATTTTACGGCACAATGGCAAAGAGTAAGAAGATAATCCCAACAAAACCCAGAGAAAGACCGGGAGACGTTCAAAACGTTTCAGAGGGTTGCGTTGGTTAAAGGTAAGGTAGCAACAATCGAAGGATCCACAGTAGTCTTTCACTGATTTGGGAATACGGAGCAACGTGAGCAAGAATAGTGCGTCAGTTTCCCTGAGGTAGTACACCAAAATTATGCCAGCATTGAAACTGAGGGTTTAGGGTTCAGGGTCTAAGGTATACACAGGAGCAATAAAAATAGGGCTTGGGGTGTTGGGGATTTCGAGAGGGGTTCCGGGAGACTCTAGTTAGAACACAAATATATGGCAGTTACAATACTGAGAGGAGTCCAACTGGGATCACAGGGATGATGGAAGCAGTAAAAACTCAGGCATAATTATGCAGGGGTGAGGGATGGTACATCCTTCCTTATGGAAGTAATCAATGCCGTCTACTCGGGCCTCCCAGCCATACTGGGGAGGAGTGTGTGTGATTTTCTTATGTATATACAAGCAGGTGCAGCCAGCGCAGCTTGCACCCGCGAACACCATCAGGGAGCAACCCCAATAAAGAATCTCACGTCCTTCTCTCTGTCTCTGACCGTGATGTTTGACATTGTTGGTTGCTATCTTACCTTTCTTTCACTGTTCTTTTTTCTTTTTTTTTCCGTCTTTAACGTTTTCAGATCATGATCGTCGTTCTCTGAAATCATCAACATCAGCATCCGAACTGACAAAAACCAAACAACATCACAGCCGTTTCATTGCGGGAACGCCGCGGAGAAAGTCATTAGAGAAACTCAATTTTATCGATCAAATGAAGCACAACCCACCGGCCCCAAGCACCACCGACCGCCCGCAAGCACCCACCGACCGGCCCCAAGCACCACCGACCTGCCGCAAGCAGCCACCGACCGGCCCCAAGCACCACCTACCGGCCCCAAGCACCACCCACCGGCCCCAAGCACAACCCACCGGCCCCAAGCACCATCGACCGCCCCCAAGCA